CAAGGGACTCAGCTTCCCAGCCAATCGCAGCGAGGCTCCTGCGCGGGCCCAGCCAATGGAGAAGAGGATCCCCTTCGCCCCTCCTCCCGGTCCTCCTTCTTCCTTCAATCCCGCGAATTTTCCCCCTCTGGAGCACGCCCCTTGCGGTCGCGGCCAATCGCAGGTGTCGGGAGGCAGGATTTCCGCTGACGGGAGGCGGGACTTCCGCCGCGCGCACGCACTGACGCACGTACGCACGTACGGCGATGCCGCACTTTGCCCATCTTTCCGGAAAAGCCAACCTTGGCGGTGGGAAGCCTTCAGGAGGTAGCCGGCCCATGATTCTCTCTCATCATGGATGTTTCTGTCCCTCTCTCCCTCTCCCTTCCTCTCTGAAATCAATGATATATTTTTTAAAAGGTTCGCTCAAATGTCACATCACCCCCTAGTTCTACCTCTACAGCCCCGCCCCACGTAGATGAACCTTTTATTCGTAAACTATAGGCCGGATGCACGAAATTCGTGCAAGAGTAGGCCTTCGCAGCCCCGGCTTCTGCCGGAAGGTCGTCCGGACGGTCCTTCCGCTGGTCGGCTGTTCGGGCCTTTTCCATATCACACTTCCATTATCACAGATACGGTGACCACGGGTGCTGCTCCCGACCTAGCACATCAGAGCCGCCGGGGGGCGCGCGTGAGAGCCTCCATTCCCGGGAGCAGCCAAGTTTGGAAATGAATGCAGCCCAGGGGTTTAGGATGCAAAGGGAAGCGGACGGGCGATGGCTGACTTTTAAAAAAAAATTTTTTTTCCATCTTTACGAGGAGACCAAACCTGCAACCCGGGCAGGAACTGGCGACCGTTCAGTGCCTGGGACGACCCTCCACCCGCTGAGCCACGCAGGCCTCACTTTTTTTAAGTTTAAACGGAAAGAGCCAAGCCCGGCTGGTGTGGCTCAGTGGTTGCACCTCGACCTACAACCAGGAGGTCAGAGTTCGACTCCTGGTCAAGGGCACTGTCCCGGCCCAGTCGGGACCGTGGGGGAGGCAACCCATCGATGTGTGCCTCTCATGATGTTTGTCTCTTCCTCTCTCTAAAAATCAATGGAAAAATATCCTCGGGTGAGAATTAAAAACAAAACAAAATTATTTTTAATTCCGATCGACCAAGGTAGAATACAGTTCCTCATGTTGTGCCCCAACCATAAAATTATTTTCGTTGCTACTTCATAGCTGTAATGTTGCTACTGTGATGAATCGTAATGTAAATATCTGATATGCAGGATGGTCTTAGGCGACCCCTGTGAAAGGGTCGTTCGACCGCCAAAGGGGTCGCGACCCACAGGTTGAGAACCGCTGATATCGAGCCTTGTAATGTCGGCCTGTGGGGGTCCCTCTGGGCTGGTGGGTGGTTTGTGTCAGCGCACCTGGGTCCTGACTTCAGCCTGGGCTGCAGCCCCTCCCCAGGCAGGGGGCCCCCATTCCCACTCGGGGGTGACAGCCCCCACTTCCTGATGGGGTCGGGGCAGGAACCCCCCCCCCCCCCCCGCCCTCCTGGGTCAGCTGGAGGGGTTGGGGTTTCTGTTCAAGGCCTGAAGGCACTTCTCTGGGGCACAGCCACTGGTATGGGACCTGCCTGCCAGGAAGGACACTTAACCCCCCCCCAACATTTGCAGAATCTGCCTCCCAATCGGGGTGGGGGCTGGTGAGGGGTGGGTGAGCCCCTGAGAGGGGCAGTGCATGGCATACCCACCCTGGTGGGCAGGGCCCCGTGGAGAGGAGACCCGCACGCCCTTGTCCCCAACCCTGGCCTGCGCCTTTCCCCGACCCTGGTGGGCCACCCGCAACCCAGAGAGATGTCCACTCTGGCTCTCGCATTTCTGACAACAGGTGCATTTATTAGTATCAGAAGTACAAACGTAGGAATACAAATACAGAGGGCGGCCCAGCCCCAGGCCCAGCTG